CCTGCAGCAAAACCACAATTGATAGTACTCTAATGCAGCTTGAACATAAGAAGTAAATAATAACAACGAATGCAAATTAAGGTTATGAGAACAGAGTCACACAAGTATAAGAACTTGTTGAAATGAGAGAAAGAATTGTACCATTTGTATCCTCCAGCTTCAAACTCCCCTGATTCATATTTCTCCAGTGAATGTTTGGACAGCAATGAAAGCGACTGTATTTTGATAGTGTAATGAGTTGGCGGCGTATCAGAAATTGTTCTCAAAATCCCTGCAATTAAAATGTTGGCAACACAAACTAGAAGGTGTGACGGAGGGATTTATACATTAGGTGTCTGTAACATGCCATGTTTACATTAGCTAGTGCTTTAACAAACACACATATACAGATAGCGACAGAATCTTACCGTCTTGTTCATCGAAGTAAGACTAGTCATGTTCATGGCAAAAAACTTGACTGCCAAAGGTGCTGATAATTGATGCAGGTTACAAGATTCAGAATGGGTTTTCAGCTTTGAAAAGGAGAAATAAAAGGTGTTATTCCAAACTTGAAACTTTTTAAGGATAGGACACTTATGCTTTGCTTTTGCAGGATAATAATTTTTTTGTTTTGTTTTTCAAGGAAAAGGTCTCAATGACTTGCTTGTAGGTGTTTTGAATCATGTACCTATTCGAGATCCCACGCAACCACTTTTATTAAGGTTGAGAGAGAGAGAGAGAGAGAGAGAGAGAGAGAGAGAGAGAGAGAGAGAGAGAGAGTGTGTGTGTGTGTGTGTGAGACTCTCACCTTTTCTTGCCACACACCATGCACAACATTGCATTGTCAAGTAGCTTTCTGCATGCTGTATGAGGCATGTCTCTTGATCTCTCTGTATGGTTTTGATGGTTTTGATTCAGATGAACGACTTGAAGAATCGAAAAGTATCATCGCAAAATACCCAGATCGAATTCCAGTTAGTTTTCATTTATGATTGTTTGTTTTTTAGGTTTCTTTGTGAGTTTTGTTGTTTTAAAAAAAAATTTATATATTTATTTAAATAAGAATGGAGTAATAAATATATATGATTCAGAAATTCCAAGATACTGGGATAAATAATGCACTAGGAAATTGGAAACATGGAGATTTGTTCTTGTTTGTGTTTTTTTTGTTGCTTTCGTCTTTGGCAGACCTCAGTTGGTTCTAATGTTTGACCAGATTGAGAGATGCTAATGTTTTAGTGGCTGAGAGCTTTTTTTGGGTGTGTACTTTGAAATGGAAAATTTGTAGTTTGTGTACAATCATAAGGCTTAATTTTATCAGAATTGACGCAATTAGGCTCTAATGGAGAAGCTGTCAAAACTGATCAAGGTGTTCTTTTTATGTCTTTCTGCAGGTGATCATTGAAAGATATTCCAGGACAGACCTGCCTGAAATGGAAAAGAAAAAGTATGTTCTAGTTGTCACAAATTCACAATTCTCTGCAATTTCGTGAAGGCCAAAGTTTCTTGTGTTAAGAACTAACTTAAATGTCATATTACATGTACATCTGAGGTTCAGTTTTTTAGAAACTTTAAGATCCATGCATTATCCATTTGTACATCTGAGGTACAATTTTTTTTTTTTTTTGGTCAGTAAAGTTTCCGTCTCGAGGTCCTTTGGCATTGGTACTCTCCTGGTTTCTTTAGTGTACTTATAATAATACTAGGATATTTCAGTTTGTATATTAGTACCCTCATCCTAAATATATAGCTCTTTGTTCTAGCGAAACAGAGAGCTTTGCTTCTGTTACTTGCTCTGTGTTCTGAGGATCTTTTGGCATGTTTTGCTTGCTTTTCTATGCTTTAATAATAGATGTATGCTTGGATGAATTTCCTTTCATTCGCAGTTCGGTATAATCTGAATGTAGCTACTTAGTTCTAGAAGTTCTTAACACAGATTGAATTGCCTTCCGGAATATTTTAGCCAATTGTTTTTGCATTCTCACTTTAAGGAGAATAACCTGTATATCATGTTTTCTTGTTTCGTATAGATTTCTGGTTCCAAGAGACATGTCTGTCGGGCAGTTTATTCATATCTTAAGCAGCAGGCTTCACTTGACTCCTGGGAAAGCTCTTTTTGTGTTTGTGAAGAACACATTACCTCAAACAGGTAAAAGACATATTATTGATTCGGCTACCAGTTTTATTTGGATTCTGCACGGCATTGAGAACTTGTTTTCTGTGGATTTCATTTACAGCCAGTCGTATGGATTCCATCTATGAAAGTTACAAGGAGGATGATGGTTTTCTGTATATGTGTTACAGCAGCGAGAAAACCTTCGGCTGATCCTTCCATCTCCTCCCCTAATAATCTAATCGTTCATATTAGCAACTTGTAAGTATCTGCTGTTAACTTGTTCTCATTGCGAAGGGGCCTGTGAGGCTTGCTTCACTGTATTTTCTCATGTTCATTGTAAATTTGATTTATTGTGAATTCTGTAAAGTTCATATACCTTCAATAATTCCATATTTTCTTTCCAATCTCAACTTTCCATAATTACTGGCCATCATATAAGTGGGTTCAATATTATCTAATAAGTCCTAACCAAAAAATTATCTAAGAAGAAAGAAGGGAACTTGTAACCATGCTTTGTGCTCTGAGAATGTGCTTGCCTTTCTTTTTATTTTATCATTTTCTATTTTCATTAAATTTCCATACTATGTACAATGTTATAGAATATTACGGTAGTACGGCTATATTGACAAGGTGGATGAGTATTTTTTCTTTGAGATGGTTGAGAACATTACACCACATAATTTCATGCGAATAGTGCATCAGAAATTCCATGGAAGCAAAGTTACATGCCGGAAAAAGTTGCATGAGAGGAAAACGAAAAGAAGACATAAATGATATTATTATTCAGACCACCGAAGGCCAGGAGAAGTGATACAACCATATTATTCATAAATGAACGAATATTTTTTCAACACCGTATTTGAGACGAGGTTTTTGGTATATACGGCTACAGGCAGGCAGTCACATACTATTTATTTTACTCTAGCGCGCTAGCAGTTCCATGCACAGTGACCTCAGCCTCCACGGTACAACTATCGTTCACCAAGTACCTGTAGTTCGCCTGATTCACACAGAACCATCCGACTGTAATGAATCTATGCCAGCCCCGCATGGGACTGGAGGCACTGAACCACCAATTAACTGCAAGATGAAATGAAAAAGAAGAAGAAAAATGAATGAAGAGCTAAAGACCAATAACTAAAAAGTGCAAAGAAAAGAAAACCTCTTCACTGTGAAGGGGATGGTGATGGATAGAACTAGGCCAATCTATTTACCTTTACTATATGCATAGTGAAGGCTGCTGTTCTGTTGATTTATGAGGCGCAGGGTAAACTCTGCATATATTTTAGAGGTAGGAGGCAGAGATGTCGGATCAGCTAATGCCAAATAAAGAGAGAGATGGCTACCCGTCCCACTGTCTCTTCCCCACGGATACAGTTGTATCTTCCTGCATCAAGCAACAAACATTTTTAGATAAGATTACCTGCACCTAATAACTTCTGCAGCAAGTTTAGTTTTCATCTGCAAACTTTACTGCTTTTGGGCACATAATTTGCTCAACACATCTCCTTTGTTTTGTTTTGGTTGGTAAACTTTCTCAAGCACTTCAACTGATTCTTTACCAACTTCATGTAAGTAAAATTTGCACAAGAAAAGAGAGAGAGAGAGAGAGAGAGAGAAGGAGGAAATAAAAAGCCTGTAAAGAAGGATATATTAATCAATGAGGACGCTTATCCACCATTTCTGGTCTCCAGCAATGAACGTTGGTGAGTCATTGCTCCCCACGTTTAACTTTGAGAAGTAAATGTTCCAAACATGCTTGTACATAACGGCATCCTTGATCATTGATAGACACTCTCCTTTGCATGTGCTTTTTTCTTTACGAACGAAGACCTCCGCTCCAAACACGCAGGCATCTTCCATGAGAAATCCATTGGAAGTGTCAATAAAAGCATTGAGAGGGAGGAATTGATCAAATCCCCAGTCAAGCTTCATCCCATGGAAGCGCCTTTCATTTTTTTCTAAGCAATTAATACATATGACATAAAAAGAAAGGAATCAGAATATGGGACAGTACTTTGTATACATTAGAAACATTGGCTTATCTGTTCTCTGCTGTATGTTTAAGAATAAAATGAAAAGAAATGGTACCTTGAAGAGCAAAGTACATGCCAGTATTCTGATCAAGCAAAAACAACCTGAAAGCAGCATGCACTTCCCAACAAGTCTTGGGGGCATTTGCTCCAGCCAATACTAAGTAGAGAGAGATGTGCTCTTTCACATTCTTGCTCTTGTTTCCATTTGGATAGAAAACCAGTTTCCTGCAGCAAAACCACAATTGATAGTACTCTAATGCAGCTTTAAAATAAGAAGTAAATAATAACAACGAATGCAAATTAAGGTTATGAGAACAGAGTCACACAAGTATAAGAACTTGTTTATGAAATGAGAGAAAGAATTGTACCATTTGTATCCTCCAGCGTCAAACTCCCCTGATTCATATTTCTCCAGTGAATGGACAGACAGCAATGAAAGCGACTGTATTTTGATAGTGTAATGAGTTGGCGGCGCATCAGAAATTGTTCTCAAAATCCCTGCAATTAAAATGTTGGCAACACAAACAAGAAGGCGTGAGGGATGTATACATTAGATGTCTGTAACATGCCATGTTTGCATTAGCTAGTGCTTTCAACAAACACACGTAAACAGATAGCGACAGAACCTTACCGTCTTGTTCATCGAAGTTGAGACTAGTCATGTTCATGGCAAATAACTTGACCACCGAACTTTGAAGGTGCTGATAATTGATGCAGGTTGCAAGATTCAGAATGGGTTTTCAGCTTTTAAAAGGAGAAATAAAAGGTGTTATTCCAAACTTGAAACTTTTAAAGGATAGGACACTTATGCTTTGCTTTTGCAGGATAATGATTTGTTGTTTTGTTTTTCAAGGAAAAGGTCTCAATGACCTGCTTGTAGGTGTTTTGAATCATGTACCTATTCGAGATCCCACACAACCACGTTTATTAAGGTTGAGAGAGAGAGAGAGAGAGAGAGAGAGAGAGACTCTCACCTTTTCTTGCCACACCTAGACCATGCACAACATTGCATTGTTAAGTAGCTTTCTGCATGCCGTATGAGGCATGTCTCTTGATCTCTCTGTATTAATTTTTCAATCTCTTCATTGTCCATTTTTATTAAATCAAAGGAAAAATGTTTTGTGAAAAAGTGGCGTACTTGACTAAGAGCAAAGAAACTATGTAAACGAATTACCTAATCAATAGCTTCATGTGTTTGTAGATTGTACGAACCAAGAAAGAAAGGGACAGATTTTATATCTTAACGGCACATGTACAATCATAAAGCTTGTTTTATTAGAAGCAAAGCATTGTTGCCAGGGTGAATATCTTTATGTCTTTCTGCAGTGACCATTGAAAGATACTCCATGACAAGACACTTGAGATTATAAATTTTTTAAATCTAATTTCTTGTCAATAACACTTTTAAAATTCATAATTTATCTGTGTGCTGATTGCTCCTTAAAATTTTCATCTCTAGGTCCTTCCTTCCTGGTTTCTTCAGTGTACTTGTGGTAAATGAGATTTTAGTTTGTTCTAGAAAAACATAGAGCTCTGCTTCGGTTACTTCCTCCATGTTATGATGATGATCCTTTCGCATTGATGGTTTGCCTGCTTTTTGTGCCCTACATAACATAACAGTCGCGTGCTTGGATGAATTTCCTTTGATTTTTTCAACCAAGAACAAAAATTCTGCATGGCATTGAGAACTTGTTAACGCATTTTTCCGTGGATTTCATTTACAGAGAGTCATGGATTCCATTTCCATCTAGGAAAGTTACAAGGAGGACGCTGGTTTTCTGTTTATGTGTTAGGACATTGAGAAAACCTTTGGCTTATCTTTCCATCTAATCTGTAAATCTCATAACCTTGATAATGCCAAACTATCTTTCCCATGTCCATTTTTTTATCTAACAAGAAAGTAGAAAACTTGCAACCAAACTGTTTCTGCTCTGACAATAAGCTTCCCTTTTTCTTTTTCTTTTCTATTTTCGATATATTTCCGTACAACTCAGCAGAGACTAAAATTTGTAAGGTTGAAGAAGTTACAGAAAAAAATGAGAAACAAAAAAACAGAGGATTAAGAAGCCTTTGACAACAACTAAAAGCATGTAAAGTCCAAAAAATGGAGACATATTTATTCACCACCAAGGTCAGAAGAAGAGATACAATCATATTCATAAGGAAATGAGTATCTTTTCTTTCACACATTTATGTAGAGATACCATTTCTGGTCTCCAGAAATGAAAGCTTTTGAGTTGTAGAATTTGGCATCTAATAAGAAGTCAATTTTCCAAACATGCTTGCTTGTACATAACGGCATCTTTTACCATTACCATTGATAGACACTTTCCTTTCCCTGTACTTCTCTCTTTACAAAGAAAGACCTCTGCTCCAAACACACAGGTGTCATCTACGAGAAATCCATTGGAAGCTTCAGTGAAAGTTTTATGAGAGATAAACTGATCAAATCCCAATCAAGCCATATAAAAAAATATATCAGAAAATGAGACAATACATTGCAAATATGGGAAACATAAGCTTGTCAGTCCTATAAATTAAGGACAGTAAATGGTTCCTTGAAAAACCAAGTAGTTGCCCTTATTCTGATCAAGTAAAATCCGTTCCAAACTCTTGCATATCTGCTGTAATTATCTCATGTTTATTCCCTGTAGATCTCTTCTTCTTATCTTGATAGAGTTATGCATCTATCTGATCTATTTGTTCCCATTATCAATTGTAAACACATTCATATAAGTAAAACATGACAACCACTGTTTTGTGTGTTGTTTTAAGCATAGCTACCATGGCTATCAGTGTCAAAAATTAATTGACTAATTGTCATGTTTTACTTATATGAGCGCGTTTACAATTGATAATGGTTACAAAGAGACCAGATAATAGAGGCATCCCTTGATCATTCATGTCATCGTTCATATCAGTAACTCGTACGTATCTGTTGTTAACTTGTTCTCAATGCGAACGGCCTGTGACTCTTGCTTCACTGTATTCTCAGTTCATTGTATATATATTTGATTTATTGTGAAGTTCATAACCTTCAATAATACCACATTATCTTTCCAATGCCCACTTTTTTTATTTTTTTTATTTTTATGAATAACAAGAAGTTCAATGTTATCTAAAAAGTTTCAACCAAAAAGAAAATGTTATGGAACAAGAAAGAAGAAAACTTGTAACTTTGCTTTGTGCTCTGAGAATTTGGTTGTCTATATTCTTTTTTCCTTTTCTGTTTTCAATATGTATCCATAATACTCAGTAGTAGACTATCAAAGTTATGAAATGGATGAAGTTACATTGTAAAAAACGAAGAGGAAAACAAAGAAAAGTAGAGGACCAAGAAGCCTTTCAGAATAACTAAAAGCATGTGAATGATCACACGTTTGAGAACATTACGCCCCATAATTTCATACAACAGTATCGGCCATTAGAAATTCCATGGAAGCAAAGTTACATGCTGGAAAAAGTTGCATGAAAGAAAAGAAAAGGAATGATACCATTATTCGGACCACCTAAGGTCCAAAGAAGCGATACAACCATATTATTCATAAGTGATGAATATATTTGAGACATGGTTTTTGATACATACAGCCAGAGGCAGGAGCTTACTAATTATTTTAGTCTAGCACACTAGCAGTTCCAAGCACAGTGACCTCTGCCTCCACAATGGTACTATCATTCTCCAAATACCCCAAGCTCTTATCACTGAAAATTCCCAGTGTAATGAATTTCGGCCAGCCCCGCTTCTGTTAAAGGAAAGAAAATAAGTCAATGATCTGTTATAGAGAGATTGTAGGAACTGAATGTAATTATTATATATTCAGTATCTATTTACCTAGAATAGCCATTCCTTGTATGTATAGAATTCCTTACCTAGAATAGCTGTTCTCGTGTGTATATAAGTCCTAGTTCTGTATGAAGTTGAGACACACATATATATACAAAGATATCAATTCTTTCATGGTATCAGAGCATTAGACGACTCTGAAGTACAAACACCTTCCGCTACAAACACAAATACAGATATCAAACACCATACACAGCAACCATGACTGAATCAAATACCACAAAGCCAACAGACACCTCCTCCGATCCGCTCTCTTTACACAACTCTGACACACCTGGACTTTCCCTAGTTAACTTCAAGCTTGAAGGCCACAACTATGGCCAATGGAGCAGATCTATGCATCTCAGCCTCAGCGCCAAGAACAAACTTGGATTCGTTGATGGATCTGTCAAGACACCATCATCTGATGACTCAAAATTCCCATTGTGGCAGCGCTGCAATGATATGGTTTTGTCATGGATCTTGCACTCCTTACATTCTGACATAGCCAGCAGTGTTCTCTACGCTAAAACAGCGGCTGCTGTTTGGACTGACCTTCGAGATCGATTTTCACAGAGCAATGACTCTAGGATTTATCAGATTCGACAAGAAATTGTCGAGTGTCGACAAGGACAGCAAACAATCTCCATCTATTACACGAAGTTGAAAGCTCTTTGGGATGAGTTAGCCTCATACCAAGAGCCTTTTTTCTGTGACTGTGAAGGGATGAAGAACCTTGCCGAGAGAGAAGAAAAAGAGAGAGTGATGCAGTTCTTGATGGGCTTGAACGACACCTACTCTACGGTTCGGGGATCGATTCTGATGATGAATCCCTTGCCTGATACGCGCAAGGTTCACGGTCTGGTTCTTCAGCATGAACGCCAGGTTGAGGTGACCAGCCGGAATGACAGTCTGATCACTCCCCATGCAATGCAAATCAGTCGTTCCTCGGTGGCTGGATCTTCACAACCCCGCAAATCCCTGAAGTGCACATACTGCGATGGAGATGGCCATACGAAAGAACGCTGCTACTTCATCATTGGTTTTGGTTTCCCTGTTGGCCATAAATGGCATGGGAAAAACGTCAAGCCCAGAAACCAACGTTACAACCCAACGGCTCACAATGTTGAACTTCATCAGTCACCAGCCACACATACTGACACTGCCAAGACAACCACTGCTAATGGCCCAACCTTCACCACCGAGGAGTACAACGAACTTCTTGACATGCTTCGCAATAAAAAGGGTAACATTCAGCCACTGGCACATGCAACAGGTATCATTACACCCACTTGTCATATTGCACAACATGATCCACATTCCACATTATATTGGATTGTCGATAGCGGAGCAACGGATCACATTTCTCATATGCCTCCTACACATAACCACACCGCGACACATCATGAATTTGTTGGCTTACCCAACGGAGAACAGGCAGCAATATGCAACACTGGGTCTATTAAATTATCATCCAATTTGTCTCTTGATGGAGTTTTACATGTCTCGAAATTTCGTGTCAATTTGTTATCTGTCAGTAAATTAACTCGGGCTCTACGATGTATTGTAATTTTTTCTCCGGATTTTTGTGTTGTGCAGGACGTGGATACGAAGAAGACGATTGGCCTGGGCAAGCATTTTGATGGGCTTTACTACCTCATGCCTACCCAAAATCCTCACCTAGCTAGTCATGTTCGTCGTATCTCAACTCTTTGGCATCAACGTCTCGGGCATCCATCACCTGCACCCCTTCATCATTTGTCCAAGATTATTCCAGAAATAATGTTTAATTCCCAGCATATTTGTGATGTTTGCCCTTTGGCTAAACAAACTAGATTACCTTTCCCTTCCAGTTCCATTAAAACCGTTGCACCTTTTGATCTTATTCATTGTGATATTTGGGGACCTCACAACACCCGTACCCATTCTGGGGCACGTTATTTTTTGACAATTGTGGATGATTTCACTCGTTTCACATGGGTTCATCTTCTAAATTTTAAATCCGATACACAAACCATTTTGCAATCATTTTTTTCTTGGGTTAAAACTCAATTTAATCGTTCCATTAAAACCCTTCGTTCTGATAATGGTGGTGAATTCCTATCCATGCGCTCATTCTTCCTCACTCATGGCACTAATTTTCAACATTCTTGCACATATACCCCTCAACAAAATGGGGTCGTTGAACGAAAACATCGCCATCTTTTGACCATTAGTCGAGCACTTCGTTTCCAAGCCAACTTACCCTTACATTTTTGGGGAGTTAGCCTTCAAACTGCATGTTACCTCATCAATCGCCTTCCTTCCCCCTTACTCTCTCATCATACCCCTTATGAGCTATTACATGGGACTTCCCCTCTATATTCTCACCTCCGGGTTTTTGGGTGTCTTTGTTATGCCACTAACTTTACACCCACTCACAAGTTTGACACTCGGGCTCGTCGTTGTCTTTTTCTTGGTTATCCTCTTGGTCAGAAAGGCTATCACGTCTTTGATCTTGACACAAAGAAATTTTTTGTCTCTCGGGATGTTGTGTTTCATGAACACATATTTCCTTTGTCTGATCATCCCCCTGCACATCAACCAGCCACAACCACTCTTCCTATTCCTCATTCCACGTCAGACATCTCTTTACCCACCTTTCCTCTCACACATCCGGCCCAAGCTGACCCACACTTACCAACCTCACCTCCAGCAAATCCGGCCCAAGCTGACCCGGCCCAACTTCCCCCTCTTACTCCCCTTTCAGGTCCCTCGTTCCCTTCGCCCTCCTCACTCTCCATGCCGCCTCTCTCTCCCATCGATGGCGGCTCTAGTCCTCCTTTGCCGTTGCTTGGCCCCTCATCGACCTCCCTTGATCCACCCATACCGTCGACCTCCCTTAATCCCCCAATGTCGTCGGTGTGGTAACCAAATTAAGTCAAAACCCTAGGTCAAATAATTCATTCCATTTGGGGATTATTTGACCTAATTGGGAATTAATCAACCTAATTGGGAGTTACTCAATTTAATTGGGGGTTACCCAATTAAATTGAAGACTACCTAATTGGGTTGAGAATTGATTCCTAATTCCTACCCCGATTCTCAATTAAATGAGGAGTTACCTAATTGAAATAGGATTTGATTTGATACCTACCACAATTAGGGATTTGATTTACCCTAATAAATCAAATCCCTAATTAATCAAATCAATTCCATAAAGGGGAGGAATAATTC